CCCCAAAACCCCAAAACCCCAAAACCCCAAAACCCCAAAACCCCAAAACCCCGTATCTGATCTTTCTTATTGAAAACTCTTGGTTGAATATGAAAATATTATTAAATCCAACAAGTATTGATCGAGAAGATTTTATTTGCACAGAATTAAGAACTCTTCTTGATCTCTGATCATCCCGACCTCCTCTCAAAACAATGCAAGGTATACTGCATAGGTTCCACTTAGTGGTGGAGTTTTCATGGGAATCGAGACTGTTGCCACACCATCATTCCCTTGAACCTTAGTATCAAGTTTACAATCCTCGATTTCCAGAGCAAAGCTTTTGTCTATAACAATGGCTGAGTTGAGAGTTATGTCTCTTGATGATCGATTTAACATTGTAAAAACAAGAAAGCAGTTTTTATCGCAATCTCTGATTAATCCTCCTTTTACTAGAAGAATTTTGAAGTCTGAGGATAATGGTTGATCAGTACTCTCTTCGGAGTCTATGAAAAATGAATTAGACTAAATCAGGACTAATGGAAAAGTAAAATGGAAGTAGATAATTTTTATTTCATTTCCCAAAATCCAGAAACTGTCAGAAGAAAAGAATTTCCAACTGTTTAAATTTTCCTACTTTCAGAATTGTGCTGCTCAAGACGAACTTGTCCTTTGACATTTCGACTAGAATATCTTTTATTAAGCTGTTTCTCTCTTCCCAAAAATATCTTTGCCTCTCCTTTGTTTTTCTCTGGGATTTCAAACAGATTAGAATGAGCCAGATGCATAAATTCCTTTGAGATCCTTTCAGAAATTTCAATTTCATTGTTTTCTTCTTCATTGCTACTTTTTTGATAGTTCGTTTTCATTTTTCTTGTTATCTTCTAATATTTCCTCTTCGTCAGCCTCCATCTTCTGCATCAGGTATCCAAACTCGTAGTCTGGTTTCTCATCATTTTCGATTTCCCTGATGATCATTTCTAAAAGAGTAGAACTCTTCTTGTTTCTTCATGATTTATGAAGACTCTCAAGAGGTTCTTCAGCTTGGTCACCTCAGAAATTTTCAAGAACAACTTGAGATAAATCAGCCTGTAATTGCATCAGTCTTTTCTGAAGTACCTGCTTCAGGAAGGACTGGCTGGGTTCTAAAGCTACCTCTTGCTCAGAAGGAGTAAGACAGACTTCTGACTCAGAGGTAGTTTCTATCTCAGGTCTCTTTTGGTTGAAGCTAGAGTGCTCAGATTCTTCTTCAGGAATCAATTCTTTGTGCATGTTCAGAATATCAACTTTTGATCCTGAGCTAAATAGATCTTCAACTTCTTCGTATCTTTCCTTTGCTTTGGTTTGCTTCTTGTCATCAAATACATTGAAATAAGGAGCATCCTGACTAAAAGTATACAGTAGAAGCTCTTTCTCAACCAAAATCTTTATTGTTTTGTCAGGAAAAGCTTGAGATTGGAAGATAAGATTTTTTAGATCAGAATCTTCACATAGGTATGTGGTTACTTCCCCTTCATTTAATGAGTCTAAATATGACATCTCAAAGTTGTTTCCTTTCAGTTCTGGAAAGCTTTTCTCAATAGTCAATTTTAGATCTAATAGCGAGGTATATTCTTTAGAAACTAGCCTCTTAATTTTATCTCCAACTTGCACTTTTAAAGCAAATTTCTGTGCTATTTCCATTCAAGTAAAACTAATTATTAAATTCTCTTCAAAATCTGATTGATAAATAGGGGTTTTGGGGTTTTGGGGTTTTGGGGTTTTGGGG